TTCACCACATGAACTTGTTCTTTGGGCTTTTCTGAATCATCAATCGAAATACCTGCAAGACCTTTAGTAGTCTGCAACAAGGGCAGGACATTCTGCTCTAAACGTTTTATAGTTGCTACTAACATTTCTACTGTAGCAAAATCTTGAAGGGCTATCAGTGGAATGTAGTCCACTAAAATATTTTTCCTCATTATTTTTACTTTTTGGGCTTCACTAGGATATGTTTCCAAACGTTTAAAAAGGTTTTCCATCACTGCTGAATAAATGGTTATGGATTCATTCCTTTTTTGCTTTCTATTTTTAATTTCATCAAAGAGATTATCATTATAATCTGGGTGTAAAAAAGCAGATTTGAGTAGGGCTACCAACTCATCCCAACTATTAATTTTATCTCTAACACTCCTATACCAAATAGCAGCATTACCTTCAAATAACTCAATGGCTGAGCGAAACAGGATGTCTTCGGAAATATTCCGAGACCTAGCAGAATCTCTAACTTTCTCTAAAAATGTGGGAAGAGCTTTACTCTCACCATTAAACTTGATATGTAAATCAGAAATAATGACAGGAGTTGAAACCTGTATTATTGGGGTTGGGACTGTACAACTGGGAACTACAGGGACTGAAACTGGGCTACTAGTGGATGGTTTTACTATATCATCAAACATTTCCTCTTTTTCTAACACATTACCCTTCAACACTAACAAATCATCTTTACACTCTTCAACAAACTTTAATACATCTTCCTCAACATCATTCATAGGGAAATTTTCTAATCTGGTATCTAAATGTGTAGACCTTGTCTCAAATCTAGCAAAATCAGCTTTGTTTGATTCTGCATTCATTGATTGAGCAATACTATATAAATCTTTTATAATCAACATGATCTCATTCAACTCTTCCTTAGGATCTACTACATTATTAACCAAATCGACTAAACTTGAAGACAAAGTGGCCTCCTTGGCCAACAAAGCTCTTAACATCTTTCTCTTATCATCAACTGTCTTATTTGGGACATTTTTACCTCTTATGAAAAGCTCATAAGATAACTCTCCTGATTTCAAATGATTAACCTGAGTGACTTCATTTTTCAAAAATTGGATGAAAACAAACACACAAAATAACTAAAATCAACTTCAACAACTGGTAGAAAATATGACAATTTTAAGAAACAACCGTTTCCATTTATCACCTGATAGTAAGTCTCACTTGCACTCCCGCGTACTGAAATCCAAAACTCAATCAGTTTGCTGCAACTTCTGCTCTTGACTTAGTAATCAGTTGGTAAACAAAAATGAGGTCTTTAACCTGTCTCCTAAAAGTTCACACTTCCACTAACAAGGACTAAAAAAATGGTTTCAAACAACATGGGACAACATGGACACTAACAAACAACATAAACCGTACATACAAGGAAAGACAAAATACTAATAATATTGAAAACTTGACCTTTGAGTGAGCTACACTAAATAATACCAAAATAAACCAACTCTTGTTCCGAAAACTAAATGAGACTGCTCCTAGTCAAAACTAAAACAGCATCTCCTGATCACAAATATTACACCTGTGGTCATTCAGATACAAGAAAGGATACACAATAAACAAACAGTCTACTACTGAGACTAAACTTGTCGAATCTTCTCTACGACTCACAATGACTACCCCTCGTACAACAACATTAATTAACCCTTGGCATTTAAATACACCTTCAGAGACGGTTAATTAGAAGACAAACTGCATAATACTACTTCTCAACTACATAGCTCAAAAGTCACTCAAACGAATACACACATTTACTCAAAATGACCCAACAAATAAAAAATTACAAAAACCGATTATTCTGTAAAATTTGTCGAATCAATAAAAAAATAAATGTAACAGTAACTGTATAATTTGCTACTGTTTTTAAATTCTTTTCAATATCAATACTTCAATTAAAACTCATATTTAAATATTTAACTCAAATATTTGCTTTCATTTACCATTACATATATGAAGAACAATACATATGTCACTATAAGTACATTACCTGAAAAAACAACAATACATAATGTTGGTACAAAATACATACATTGTAATACAAATACACTACTGTTTGTGAGACACTTTGGGGCACTATTCAAAAGGAAAAAAGTTTCATATAAATGGCAGGGAACTGAGGAAACTGAAAAAGATATGTGGCTTCAGGAAAAGGATCAAAAATCTAAAAATTCGCCCCACGCTATGGGCGTCAAATTTGTAACGACTATTTTGCTTACCACAGGGTAAGAATATGGGGGACAAGATTGGGCAAACAAAATAATCGAAATTAGTGCATACGACACTCAGTTGGTTGTTGGAGAGCTGGGTCGTGGATAAGTTGAAGATATTGGGGGTTGGATTGGGCAACTACAAAAAAAAGAAATAAAGGGGTACTTATACAAATCTCTTGGGACAAACAGAATGAAAATTAACGGAAACACCTCAAGAAATTTAATATAGGGCGCCACTTGAGGTGCCCAATTATACCTATTACAACCACTAGTTGTAACTAGGGAAATAATTGTATAACATCAAAAATATAGAAAAAAAATATCTTTTTCAAATAAAACTCAAAATAGATCAGAGAAACAAATTAAACATTTATTTTTGTCTCACCAAACAGTTTTCAAAAATACAGCTTATACAAAGGCATATTAAATAAAATTAGCTGTCAAATACAAATGAAAAAAACTTACATATCTGTTTACAAAAGGTTACAAAACTCTTCGAAACGGTTCTTAGTAAATAATTTAAAAAATAATTTATAAAAGAAAGCAAATTTTGTCTTTTTAAAAGAAAATGTCTATTTTTACTTTAAAAATTAATAACGTAAATGTTACCTCAGTTCACACATCTTAACTTAAACTTTTGAACAACTGGCTAACTTCTGCGGGGTATCTAACTGCACATCAACGGAAAGCTTTATTGGAAGCTGAAACTGGCACATCCAAATCAAAACTGCTCCAATATTATTCTACATGAGGTGAAAAGGGCATCTCGGGAAGGAACTGGATCTCTCAAAAAAAACGAAAAACAAACAGGAACTAAACTTGTTCACTGCTCAAACATCATAAATCTTCAGCCAAAATAAAAACAGTGGTTACTGGTCACTCTTTCAGAAACGACATATTACTTAGAGTGAAAATTCCACCATTTTGGCGAATGAATGCCGGCTTACAACATCACAATTAAACGACTTTTTTCTTCGAGAAGTTCTTCATCACTTCCTCTCAAATCTTTTACTCCATTCCCACATGTCTGCCCCGCTTGGAACTTAAATCTCGACTCCTATCACATGTCTGCCCCGCTTGGAATCTAAATCTCGACTTCTTTTCAAATCAAATCTTGGTCTCAATTGTCCATGTCTGCCCCGCTTGGAATCTAAATCTCGACTTTTATCACATGTCTGCCCCGCTTGGAATCTAAATCTCGACTCCTTTTCAAATCAAATCTTGGTCTCAATTGTCCATGTCTGCCCCGTTTGGAACTCAAATCTTGACTTCGTTTCAATCTTTACTCCATTCTCACATGTCTGCCCCGCTTGGAACTTAAAAGTCGACTCTCTTGCTTCGTTACATTTTACCAGAATCTAGCCAAAAATTTCCCTTCCGTCTTGCAGCTAACCTGTCCCCACAAACTCAAGAACCAAAACAATATCCCCTCGCTCGTATCGACAAAAAAACCTTTTAAATATTCCTTTATTGCCTAAACAAACAAATATTCTTTTTTTGACCCTCGACTAATAACGAAAAACAACTTTAATATTAGGGGAATTCATGGTTTATTGCGTTTTAACATAATACCTCTTTGGCGACAAAAAACTTGTTTGTTTCACCTAACATTGCAACACAGAGATAAAAACATATTTCCAAAGTTAATACGCATTTAAAAATCTCGTCAAAAAAAACTTGAAATATTTACAACGTACCTACATTTAACTTTATTGATCGATTTCTTGGTAGAAACAACAGGGACGTACCACAGAAACTTTTCTATACACTTTAATTAAAAAAAAACGCTACAATATATCGCTCCATATAAGAATTCTTCGATGTTATATTTTCTCTACCCTTTTGTATGGAGTTGAAGCTTGGATACTTAAAAAATCCAACATTAAAAACCTAGAAGCATTCGAAATGTGGTGTTACCGACGCATTTTGAAAATATCATGGATGGATCGCAAAACAAACGAACAAGTTCTCGAACAACTAGAAAAACAATGCGAAGTTTTAAATTCCATAAAAATCAGGAAATTGGAATACTTGGGGTACATATTGAGAGGTGAAAAGTACGAACTACTAAGGAATATAATGCAGGGTAAAATCAAAGGTAGAAGAAGCGTAGGAAGACGTAAAATCTCGTGGCTACGAAATCTCCGTGAGTGGTTTGGATGCAGTTCAATTGAACTATTCAGGCGAGTAACCAATAAAATTATAATTGCCAGAATGATTTCCAATCTCCGATAGGAGTGGAACTTGAAGAAGAAGAACAGAATTGGTTTATAGTTGTCTAATTTATGTTTTTCCCTTTCTAAATATCAGTATTTTAATACTTTATTATACAGTTTAGCTGGTATTAAAATATTTTTTTTATTATAAATCAGTAGCTTCTTTTAAATTTAAAGTTACATGTCTCGACTTTTTTTAAAAGTAAGCACATTCGATTAAATTCTGAACTGTTTTTTTTTTGTTTGACTCTTCCACACGATATAATTTAATGTATCGTACGAGTTTACTATTCTGGAATGAACGGTATTTGTTTTGAAATTACCTCGATGCCATATACCTTTATTACCGAAACAAATCATCCCAAATAACATTTCTACGACCTGCGAACGGGAAAGATAAATCAACGCAGCCCCAAAGCAATGAACTCTCTTGATTTATACGACCCGAACCTTATACCTTCATAAAAACCAACGGGACTAAATCCAACTGCCAGACATATCCATTTAACTTACAATTTTATCCCTTTTACAGATATTTATTTTGCAAGAAGCCGACGAGGTCGAGGAGGAGCACTTATCCCCATCAGCACACGTCAATTTCGCTATTATCTGTTAAACGGAATCAGGTTAGTATTACCAGGAACGACAAGCAGGCGTCAATAAATCGTTCGCCTGATGCGTTGCCTATGCAGGAGACCACAATTGCACTGTTGGATAACGGAAATGCGAGCGAACGCAGCCATTCGTGCAACAAAATTCGGTAGCACGAGAAATTTGATGAGTGGGCTACAAATGAAGACAGTATTACAAAGAGAAGACGCTTACTACGGGTATGTGTTATAATTGAATTATTTTAACTTCATCTATCACGTGATGTGATCAACAATAATTTTTTTTTAAATACGTTAAACCTATTCTGATATTGTTAAGTCTATTCTGATATTGTGAAATTATTTTGTACACGAATACAAAAACATCTTTAATTTTTTTACGAAATATAGAGTTTGCAACCAGTTTTCTGTCTAAAATATGAAGGGTCAGGAGGAAAAACGATGAAAGTCAATCTAAGTAGAAACAAATACAACTCAAATTCAAACGTAACTTAACTATTTATAAAATGAACTTTAATCAAATAAAAGGCAAATATCGAGCACAGTTTAATTAATTTAATCTTGCCCAAGTACTTTCGCTTCCTAGAGCATCTTCAGGGGCATTTCGTCAATTGTGACCTACCCGACAAGAATAAAATGTTCTTCTTCTTTAAGTTCCATCTTCTATCGAAGGTTGGAAATCATCATGGCTATGCGGACTCTGTTGACTGCCGCTCTAAAAAGTTATGCAGTACTGCACTCAAACCATTCCCTTAAGTTCTTAAGCCAGGATATTCTTTGTCTTCCCACATTTCGCTTTCCTCGGATTTTGCCCTGCATAATAAGTTGTAATAATGCGTATTTTTGCCCTCTCATCACATGTTCCAAGTACTCAAGTTTTCGTCTTTTAATAGTTAATATTATTTCCGCATCATTTCCTATCCTTCTAGTTACTTCCATGTTTGACATTCTTTGAATCCATGATATTCGTAGGATTCTTCTGTAACACCAAAATTCAAAGGCGGCCAGCTTATTCAAATGAACTTGTTTTAGTGTCCAAGCTTCCAGACCATAAAGAAGAGTAGAGAACACGTAACATCGAAGCATTCTCAGGCGTAGTTCTAACCTTATATCCCGACAACAAAGAAACATTTTAAGTTTAATAAATGATGTACGTGCTATTTCAATACGTGTCTTAATTTCTTTGGTTTAGTCTACATCTGATGTTATCCATGTTCCTAAATATTTATAGTTATTAACATTCTCAATTGCAGTATCTTCAATAGTCAATTGGATATTTGCATGTGCAGATTTAGTCATGATCATGCATTTAGTTTTCTTTAAATTTATCTTCAGTCCGTACTCATGACAGCGTTCATTAAGGCGTTGCATTAGGTTCTGTAAATCATTGTTGTTATCCGTAATTATTACTGTATCGTCTGCAAAACGTAAGTTATTCAAAACTTCTCCATTGATAGATATACCTTCTATTGAGTCTGAGAGCGCTTCTTGAAATACCGCTTCACTGTAGACATTGAAAAGTAGTGGGGACAGCACGCAACCCTGGCGGACTCCTCTCTGTATTTTGATATTTTCATTGTACTGGCTGTCAACTCTTAAATTGGCAGTTTGATTTCAATATAAATTAGATATAATTTTCAAAACACGACTGTCAATATTTTTGCTTTTTAATATATCTACAAGCTTTTTATGTTGAACTTTATCAAATGCCTTTTCAAAGTCTACAAAACATAAGTACATATCCTGATTCATGTCCATGCATCTCTGAGCCAGCACATTCAAGCCGAACAAAGCATCTCTTGTACTCATACCATTTCTAAAGCCAAATTGTGTGTCACTAATCTCATATTCAAGAGTTTTAACAATTCTGCTGTGAATTATTTTCAAAAATGTTTTAAGTGTGTGACTCATTAAAGCTATTGTTCTGTGGTCTGAGCAAGTTGTTGAACTTGGTTTTTTGGGAATTGCTACAAAGGTTGATTGCAGCCATTGTCTGGGGATTGTGGCAGTCTGATATATTAGATTAAAGAGTTCAACCATTACATCAATAACATCTTCATCGATGAGTTTTAATAATTCGATGGGCACCTCGTCTGGTCCAGTAGCTTTACCCTCTTTTGTGTTTTTGATAGCATAGATGACTTCTTCTCTTAATATTGGTGGTCCAGTATCCTCGGTGATTTCTAATGACAGTTCTTCTCTTTTATCATTAAATAGTTGTTGAATGTAATTGGTCCAGTGACATAATCTCTCCTTCATATCAGTAATAATATCCCCTTTATCATTTTTAAGGATATTCGTTTTTGTACGCTTTCTAGAATCTGTCATTTCTTTGATTTTTTTGTGTAAATTAAAGCTATCGTACTTTTTATCCAGATCTTCTATTTCCTTGCATCTATCGGAGAGCCACTTCTCTTTTGCCTCCCGAATTTTCTTTCTGATGTTTCTCTGAATTTATTTGTATTTATTTAGGTCTTTTGCTTTATGTTTTCGTCGTTCTTCCATGAGTTCAAGAATTTCTACTGTCATCCAAGGTTTTGTTTTTTCTTTAAGTGGTTTGAGGGTTTCTTTTCCAACTGACACAAGGGCATGTTGAACCATTTTTGGCCAATAGTTAGAGTTTCTGCATTATCTTCTTTGACTTTCCTTAAGCTCTCCTTTATTTTAAATTTGGTTTCCACATATGTGTTGTCTTGTTTGAGGCGTCTTGTATCAATGATTTTCTTGGTGCTAGGGCTGTTGACCTTCTTTAGTTTCACTCTCATCGACAAAACAACCGGGTTGTGGTCGAAGGATATGTCCGCTCCTGGATAATAAAATGTTATAAACATAAAATGGTACATCATACTACACAACACAAGGACAAGCAGAAAAAATTGTTTGTTAATATCGTTGCCTTAACTTCCCCGTGGTCGTCCTCTTTCTTCTTTCAGGAGGAATCCATTCTAGTACTTTTCTAGGCCATCTGTACTCTGGAATTCTTTTAACTTGTCCGAACCAGATTAATTGTTTTCTTTCCATGTCATCATTGATATTTCGCTCCATTTTCATTTCGTTTCTTATTTGTTCGTTTCTAACTCTCTCCAGTTTAGATCTACCGCAGCTTCGTCTCAGATAATCCATTTCTGTCGTCATAAGTTTGTTTCTATTAGCTTTGGTGACGTCCCATACTTCTGAACCGTAAAGTGTAATACTTTGGACTTTTTTTTTTAACCTATTCTCTATCCTTCCATTGTTGGATATAGGTCTCCCCCAGTTTTTTCCATCTTTCCCTATTTTGAGCTGTTCTCTGCCATGTGGGACCTCCTTGTTTCCTGATGTCATCTTTCCACCCCATCTGTGGTCTGCCTCTTGATCTCTTGGCATTGTATGGACGCCACTTTCCGATGGCATTGTTCCATCGTCCGTCTTGGAGACGTTCATTGTGTCCAGACCATTTCCATTTCAGTTTTGCTGCTTGATCTATCGCGACTACTGTCTTTGTTCTGGTTTTAATCCACTGATTACGTTTTCTATCTCCAAGTGATATACCCAACATTTGTCTCAGAGACAATATTTTGGACTATACCACCGTAAATGTGTTTTTTGGTTTTTCGTCGAATTGTTTTCTGCCGGAGAAGAAAGTTTAAGGCACGGGTCGCTGCTCTGTCCTTGTTTATTCTTTCTCTGATTTCATCTGCGCTATTTCCCTTCTTTTTGAAAATGACCCCCAAATATTTGCAGGATTGCACGCCTTTGATTTTGTCGTCTTCCAAGACTAGGTCACATATTTCATCTGTTCCCACTGAGAGATATTCACATTTTATCACATTCATGTTTAGACCTGCCAGCTCATATTCTTCTTGCAGTTTTCTTACCATATAGCTAAGATCGTAGCTGTCTTCGGCAATTACTACCTGGTCATTCGCAAAGAAAAGTGTAAATAGCGTGTTTTCTTCCACCGTTATTCCCATGTTTTTACATTTTTTACCCATTTCACTAAGGATTTGTCCAAATAGATTTTAAATAAGTTGGGTGACAGACAGTAGCCTTGTCTTAGTACTTTTGTTGTTTGAAAAGGAGAGGTAATTTATTGTCCCATTTTAAGTCTTGCAAAGTTTTGTTCGTAGTATTTTTGAGTGGTGTTAATAAGAATTGGGTGTATTTTCAGGTTACCCATTTCTGTCCATAGTTGGGCGATCGGTACACTGTCATATGCTTTTTCCAAATCTATTAAAGCTATATGGGTTTATCTATTTCTCTGCATTCGTTTTGCATTGCAATTTTTAATGTGAAAATATTATCCATAGTGGAGCGTCCGGCCCTAAATCCCGCTTGTTTTTCGGGTTGTTTGTCTTTAATATAATTTTCTATCAGGTTTCATAGTACTTTTGAGTATAGTCGGCCTATAGTAGCAATCACTGCAATTCCCTATAGTTTTTAGGATCCGTCTTTGTGCCTTTTTTGTGTATTGGAGAGATAAACGATTGTCTCCATTCTTCTGGAACTTCTTCTCCATTTAAGCATCTTTCTAATAATTTTCGGATCATTTCAAACAGTTTTGATGATCCATACCTAATCAACTCTGGATGTATTCCGCCTGGGCCTGGAGATTTTCTTAATTTCATTCCCTTAACTGCTTCTTTCACTTGTTCTATTGATATTTCTATTCTTTCTTCTACTTTCACTTGTTCATTTGTCTGTTTAAACCTTTCTCTTCTCTCTTTTAATAAGTTCTCAAAATGCTCTACCCAATCTAATGATTGAATTAGTAACTACACAATTTTCTCCTAGAGATTTGTTATTCTTAGCGTTTCTTAGGGCTAGTTGGATATATATTTGAAAAAATTGATTTATATTTATATCAATATCCTTTATCTACCCGTAATGTATGTTTACACTGTATGACTGACTCGTTCTGTGAAGTAAATTTATTTTTTCGGAAGTGTACTGTTCAGTGTTCAAACAAAATAAAAAAATTCATTGTTGAAATTTTAAAGAAGTCTATAATTTCAGAACATAATTATCACGTGACAGATAATTTAAAATAAGGCAGTTATATGATAAGTAGGTCCTTTATAGGATGTTTTATGAGCTAGCTGTTCCTTTGAAAAGGGTCTCAATGAATAATTTCAGTAATAATATAAAATATTATTTAAGATTTATCCAATTTG